TAACACTGTCTTTGATGGTTTATATATATATATATATATATATATATATATATTTATGTTAATAAATTAATATGTATATATAATATAATATTATTTTTTCAAACTTTCAATTTATAATTCCAGTAATAATAATAAATGACAGTATTCTGATTTATGCGTAGTTACAGCTGTTTTACTTTTATACCTTCTTAAATGAAGGGACTATTGAATTGAATTGAATAAAATATGAATGATGGTGATTGGCCCAAACATGGACTGCCCTGCTGCCTGTCTCCTCGATGTTTGTTATTGTTTTTTGTGTTTTAAAGCCATTTTCATCGCGTGTTTTGGACTTTGTGTTCGGAATGGCGTGTGACCCCGTCTATTGTATTTGTAAACAACCTTACGATGTTTCACTGTTTATGATTGAATGTAATGTTTGTAATGACTGGTTTCATGGAAGGTGAATGAGGGTATTTATTCTTCTGTGTAGTTATATGCTGTAAATTATTATGTGTCTCGTCATTTTCGTGTGACAATCATTTTCGCTAGGCCCTCTTCTTGCAGCAACCTTGTGTTCTTTTGTAAATTGCCTCACCCGATAAGAGTGTGCTTCACGCCCATTTTATCACCCTTGTATTAGGCTTAGGCTAGGCCTTATCTTTTACTAACAATAATAAATCTTTTGAAAAGGATAATAATAAATATATTGGCGCTAATGCACTTTAGTGCTTTACTTTAACCCAGCATTAAGATAACGAGAGATGTTAATTGGTTAGGGTACATAATATTTATTTTTAAATTATTATTAATAAATTAATTATAGAATTATAGGCCTAGGCCTAGACCATTTTATCGGATTTACTTTGAAACAACTCCGCCAAAGTCTCGCAACTCACGGGGGATGGGGGGCTTCCAGCGGCCTAGACTGAGCAGCTAGCTAGTTACAAATAGAGCACCGCGCAGCGGCTAGCTACTAGCGTCGCTAGACCTTTACTATAGCAGCAGTAGACAACAGATACTATCTTGCTACTTACTTTAATTGCTGTAGTAGGTCTAGGTACCGTATTGGAACTTCTGATTGCTAAAGGTACGGTAAATGATATTACATCATGATTAGCCAATAGAAACGCCGATACACGTGTAACGTCATTCAGTGCATTGCTGCTGCTGCAAGAGTAGTGAGTGTGTGCTTTAGCAACGATCGAAGATTTTTTCGTTTGCGGATGTTGTTGCCAAGCTGTGATTAATATTCTGTAGCCCGAGGCCCTATAGCAAATAAATAGGATAGCAGTTTTGCTAGATTTGGCGACATCAAGCAAGAATAAACTATTTTAATAGTAGAAGCCAGGCCTAGGCCTAGCTACCCCTGAAACCTATGCCTAAGCCTAGCCTAGTAGTACGCCTATAAGTATGCCCCTAGGCGGGTATTCGGGCTAGGCCTAAGCCTAGCCTTAGTAGACCATTGTCTATGGTAGACCATAAAATACTCAAGAATAGCAGAAAGGATTTTTAACCCAAACATTGTGATAAGCCCCAATCGAAATACATGAAATGGGCCTGTTTTATGACATAATTTTGATCGTAACTGTTCGCGCCACGTTTCCCATGATCGTGACGTCGACTTTGCAAAAAAGCCAAAATCGAGTCGGTCATTTCTATTGGCTAATCATGACGTAATATCATTTACCGTACCTTTAGCATCCGGAAGTTCCTGATACGGTACCATATCTCTAGCCACGGTGTAAGTAAAAAATGATAATAAACTTTTCGTCTATTCTAACAATTGTGTATTTCACTTTTGGAATGTAGTTGTGTTGGTGTACGAGAAGATCAGTGTAACGACATTGAAGAATATCACTGTCCCAATTGTAGCAAAGGTTTTGGACCTTTAACATGTAAGTTTACTCTGCTAATTATATGTTTAGTTATAAATATATAATACAGTATAGAACTGAAGAGTAGTAGTGGAGAAATCATATTAGAATTTCACTATAAAAACTTCATATTTGAAATTGTTGAACTTGGGATCTAGGATAAAGTGGCTTGAAAGAATTGATGCTGTAATTTTCAATTTGTTTATTTTATTAAGTGTGTTATTTTAATTGTACCTGTATTTGAAATTTTTAATTTTTTTAAAGTAAAAAAGAGGAAAAATTGGCACCGGCATGATCATACAGAAGAGATAACCAGTAATACTATGGTGAGTCAAATATTGTATAAAATATTCACTTGTATACTATAATAAGTATATAGCCTGGTAGTATATAGTGCATATGTCATGGTAGATGAACCAATTATTACATCAGTTATTGAATCTGATACTTATGGAACAGAAACTCAGCTTCCTGTGGGAGTATCTGACTATGTTGCAGGTAGGCCTCATCTATGGCTAAATTTATTATTATTATAAAAGAAATTTATTATATGAAATATTGACCTGAGTATGTTTTCTTTTATTTACTTGCCAATAATGAATATAAAAATTTTGTAATTATAACTTGTGTCTGTTTATTCTAAGAATTTTATTTTGTTTTCTTTAACAGGCTGTGCAAACAGGAACATTAGTGTTTATTAAGGAGTTAAAAAATAGAACATTTGCAAATGCAGACGAAATTCTTCTGAAGAAACGAGGATGGGAGCTGTCTTTGGAATATTTCAGTACTGAAGGGTTTGATAGGCCAATACTGATTGACGAGAAAGATGGCTTGGATATGGTTGTACCGCCCCCTTCATTCTCAGTCCGTGACGTTGAGAGTCTTGTGGGTAAGATAATTTTAAGTGGAGTTGTTTATCCGCAGTTATATATTTTGATGATTATTTTAGGATTGAGGAAAACTTGAATCCCTAATAATCACTGCAAGTCCCCAGTTCTAATTGAAGATAATGCAATTCTTTTGTGAATTGATATATTAAATTTATTTTTTTGGATAGTTCATAGTGCAAGCATATTGATTCTAGTTTTGTTTAGCTGTAAATGTTTACCTTGAATTTAAAAGTTATTCATCAAAATTAGTTTATAATTGCGAAAATGTTTAACAACCTCAATGTTTGCAGATAAGTAAGGATGGTAGCACTTGCATGATATGCTGTATCTTAGTTACAACAATGCTTTCTAAACAAATGTGGGTGCTTTCAGAGTACATCAAGCCTCTTGATCTTTGTTAGATATTTAAAGGGATGGAATAATTTTTATTAAGCAGTTTGGTTTAATGGTATATTTTAATTAAATTATTATGATAATATTAAGGTTGGGTACAATTTCAGAGCAATTCACAAGTTTGAAAACTAAAACATTTTTTAAAATTTTAAAAAAATAATTGCCAATTATAGTAAGTTTTTTTTTAAATGTTAGAATGTGATTTTGAAATTGTGTAGTTTAATGTACACTGTCCTGTAATTATGAAGTTTGCACAACTTCTGAACTACAATCAACACTGCAAAATTTAACATAAATATTGTTTTTAATTTTAAAATATTTATTAGTAAAAGAAATATTTAAATAAAAAATTAAAAATAAATTAAATTAAAATAATAAATATAAATAAATATTAATAAATAAAGTAAAATATTTATTGTTTAAAGGATCAAATTATGAGCTTGATGTGATTGATGTACAAAACCAAGAGACAAATAAGATGCTAATGAAGCAGTGGAGAGAGTACTACAACCACCCAGAGAGAGACAAAGTACTCAATGTCATCAGTTTAGAGTTCTCAAAAACAAAGTAAGTTCTCAAAGACAAAGTGAGTTCTCTTTTAGAGATCAGTAAACTATTGAATTTTTAACATTTTAGTTATATAAATAGTAAATGAATCAAGTAGCACATACAAACAGCATGAATACTACAGATTTTAAAAATTAAATGAATTTGTAATGTATTTAGTGCTACTGATTATCCCACATACATAGCATTATTTCTGTTTTTAATCTATATCATTTTATCAATAAAATTTGTCATAGTTTTTTGTCGTATTACTGTTATTGTTACTTCCATCATCATCATCATCATCATCATCATAAATATTATGTTTTAATTAAATCTAATTCATTACATTTCTTGTGCAGGTTATCAGAGTATGTGCTGCCACCTAGAGTTGTCCGTGAGATGAGCTGGGTGGATATTGTGTGGCCAGAGGTGTTGCCTGAAGAAACAAGCTTCAGTAAACCAACAGTGTCCAAGTACTGTCTTATGAGTGTTAAGGATAGTTACACTGACTTCCATGTGGACTTTGGTGGTACCTCAGTGTGGTATCATATATTAAAGGTATGGGACCTAAGCTTAAGAAATAAAAAAATGATGTATCCAAAAAATGATTGATTTATGAATGTCTCATAAGTGATAGATAGCAACGGTGATAATCATGTGGACTTTAGTGTTAAATCAGAGTACTGTACATTAAATGTAAGGGGAAAAAGCTGAAAAAATTGAAATAATTTATTCACAGATTCATTTATTTCTGAACAATTGATTTTGGTTATGATGTTTAAATGTATTCAGTCCAGCTGTCATGTATGGCCATACACATGGCATGGAGTTGAATAGCTTAGTGGTTAAGATGCTTTACTTCTAATCCCAGGGTTGAGGATTCAATTCCTGTTACATCAGGACTTTTCCTCATGACTAAAACAACTCCACTCCCTAAACCTCATAAAGAGACTTCGCTGATAAAAGCATAACATTATTTCATTTATTTAAGAGGGCTCCTGAATATCAGCCGACCCTATAGGAAACGCTGGAAGGGTCACCCTCTATAAATATGGAGGGGGAAAAATGTAGTATTTTGCTGTTTTTAAACAGGGAGAAAAGATATTCTATCTGATCAAGCCATCATTATCCAACTTGACCTTGTATGAGCGATGGGTGGCATCGTCCAATCAGAATGAAATGTTCTTTGGTGATCAGGTGAATTCATGTTATCGATGTAGAATTACCGAAGGCCAGACATTCTTCATTCCAACAGGTATTTATTTTATATATTATTTATTTTCAATTAATTTTGTTCATGATTTAAATGTCTTATTATTTTATTTATGGACACTGTATCTCAGACCCTAATGGAAATTTTTATTTTTTTTTTGGTTTATTTTTTTTTTTTTACATCTTAATTAAATTGATTGTTGAAAATTAATATTGTCATGTTGTACAGATCTTTTGAATAAAACAACATAAAATATTTTATTTATCCAAATTATTGGTTTCTGATTGATTTAGATCTTTTCTTTGCCAATGATTGTTTTAAATGTTTCCTTTATAAATCTCTCAAATGTTATTTTTTTTTAGTTTTGCGTATGATTTATTATGTGCAAAGTTGGGAGAAATGTATCATCTTAGCTAAGTTTTAAATTATTTTGTGCCTTGTAAATTCATTGCCAGATTTTACTTAATTTTTGTTGGATAAATTGATGCAGCATCCCAGCCAAAAATCGTCAGTAGACATGTAGATGAATCCATAATGATTATTAATTGTATTGTAATGTTTCAGTAGACATGTAGATGAATCCATAATGATTGATAATTGTATTTTCTGTTGTAGGCTGGATCCATGCAGTGCTCACAGATGTTGACAGTCTAGTTTTTGGTGGAAACTTTCTGCATACGTTTAGCATACCATTACAAATAAGGTAATTTTCCTTGTTTATGTGTATCAGTACTACTTTATACAACATCTATTCTATTAATTTGGTTGGTAGAATACAAGTGATTATTTCATTGTTTTATTTTGAGTGACACTTCAAAAATTGTTGACTTTTTAGATCCTAAAACACAAAACTTTTAAATGCCACACAAGAGAATAAAATAAACCTAGGCCCATCGCTGTTGGACTCGCGACCAGTCAACTGTGGTGCAATAAATAGACACATGTTGATTGGGTCATTTGTTCTCACAAGCAAAGGTTTGTAGGCCTATTACTAAATGGAAGTGCTGCTGAATCAATTTAAATATAAATCAAATGCAGTTCAAAAGATTTGTGTGTATTTATTAGCTGAACCGTAACTTCATCAATTCTTAGGCCAAGTCTAGGTCAAGCCTAATCTTACATTCCTTTAAGATAATTTATTGTAGATTTGTCTATGATATTTAAATACACAAATGTATCTATTAATATATTATATCAACTCATGGAACATATGCAGTTATAATGTCAGACTTCTGTTGTTGATGTGAACATTTTTTTTACTGCTAGAATATATGAACTAGAGAAACGTTTGAAGACACCACAGCACTTCCAGTTTCCGTGGTTTGAGATGACTATGTGGTATGCTGCTAAGCATCTCCTGGATCTTCTAAAGAGTAAGTTGTGTGTTTTTATCCTTGGAAATAAATGGTTGTTTATAAAATAAATAAATAAATATATAAAATATGCTTGTTTAGGCTAAAGAATACTGAAGTACTTATTCTATTTCATTTATGGTTTGTGTTAATGTAGACTACAAAGATGACAAGAAGATTCCTCCAACTTACATCTTAGAGGGATCCAAAGAATTGTTAGCAACTCTCAGGTCGTGGACAGGAAAGAAGGAGGTCAGTGTCTAAAGCCGTGTTCACTCAGTTATTAGGGAGCTTTCGAACGTAATGAAGTCACTGAAAGTCATCTGCGCATGCGAGAACGTTAAGGTGACCTCGTCGTAGAATCTGGAATGCAATTTGGCCAAATCTACGTATGCAGAGAATGTAGGGTGCCAGGTAGGACGGTCACGCATGAGTGATTCTGTTCTAGCGTTGTAGCACAAATCAAAAGCTCCCTAATGTTACACTGCTTGTAAAGCTCTGTCCACACTGCCAAATTTTATGGGACAAATTTGTGTGATGTGCCTATATATGGGCATGATGATATCATATTACACCCAAATATGGGCATATCACTATTATTTGTCACATAAAGTTTGATTGTGTGGCAAGATCTTTAGGTAATGTAAAGAATGAGAATCTTTCAAAGGTTGTTTGCAGTTTCTATTTGGTAAAAGTGAGCAGGTACATGGTTAGTCTGACCAACATTAATCCAATGTGAACACAACTTAAATGTTTGAAATGATCTCCATGTTTCTGTGCACACACTGTTGTCTACCAACAGTTTAGCCACCCAAGATTTAGTGCTGTAGGTATGATCTAAATATGTTATAAACCTAGATATGTTTGTTATATGAGTTGGTTTCTTTTAAGGTGTTTTTGTAAGAGAAGAGCGGAAACATCATGTTTCTACATTTTAGACAATTTTTCAATGATTTCTCAAACTTAATTAAACAGAATGTTTTATTTTGTGTCTACGGCAGCTAAGAGAACAGATGCTTGTAAGTGATTATAATTTGTGGATGTGTGCACAGCACGTGTGCATTACATCTGCATTAGTGCACTACATGTTATTATGTGCACCATATGTGCATATGTACACATGATGTGCATGTGTGTACCAGAAGGGTATATGTGCACCACATGTACATTATATGCTTCACATGTGTGCATTACATTTGCATAAGTGCACCATATAGGTATGCACCACATGTTATTATGTCCACCACATGTGCATGTGTACACATGATGTGTGTACCAGATGGGCATATGTGCACCACATGTACATATGTGCTTCATATGTGCATTATATGTGTACCACTGGGACACATGTATGCACCAATTATCAGTACGCGCACAACAGGTGCATATGTATATATGTGCATCACACGTGTACTGTATGTCAATCACATGTGCAATCACATGTGCATATGTGCATCACACGTGTGTGCCTCATATGTGCATCATGTATGCACTTCCTGTGTATGTGTGCACCATATATTTTATGAGACATTCTGTTTTCACCACCTCTGTTGTTAAGTCATTAATCCCTACTGTGGATACCGCATTAGCATTTCTGATAATGACATAATTAATGTAGAAATATTGAATCCCGACACGATGGCGTGCATTTCAATTCTTGGAGTATGTAGTATACTATGGAACCACATTAAGTAATTGAATTCACCCTGTAGATATTGGCAAATGTAAACAGTGTAATAATTGAATATTGTATATGACAGACAAGTTATAGTTTTTATAGCTCATATTACTTTATTTCACATCCATAGTAAATTAGGCTAAGAATATTAAACAAGATGATGCACATTAATATCATTCTCAGTATATTTTCATTTTATTTACATGTTTTATAAGCCATCAATAATAGTTGTTTTTCCAGTGTATCATATGAATTTAAAAATAAATGTGTTTACATTGTTAGTATTATTGACTACAAAAAGAAATGTTTAAATATATATTTACAGATGTAAATGTATTTGTTTTAGCTATTAATCTTCCTTTATTTGAATTTGCCTATATCATAGCATGGTTTTCTATTGTTAAAAACCTTTGTCACCCTCTCCACCCCATTGTACATCATGCAAATGCCTTTGCTAATGCATGCCCACCCGGCCATCCCATGATAAAACAATGTAACTGCTATTATATTTTGTGCAGTTAAGTTGTTTTGCCGTGAAACGGCCACACCATTTATTAATGTGTTCAGTAGGATCAAATTTGTGACAGTGATGCGCTGTTTCAATACCAGATGGAGTCCCATCCTGGTTACCAATTCTGTGCCAATTGTCAGTATTATTTTTGGCGTTCGCATTTCTTTTTTTAAGGGGTTTATTAATTTTTTTTTTTTTGTATATTTATCTAGGCCTATAGCTCAGACATGTCAATACACAATGAGCAGTATAAATGTTCATTAATTATTATTATCATTATATCATGGTTTACGGTGATTACTACTTATTAATTTAAAAATTCAACTTAACTACTATTAATTTATTTAATTTATTTCAAGTATTTAATTATCTTTAATGTGTTCATGATGCATTTCATTACCTCTTGGTATATTTACAAGTGTCAAAGCTCTATTAAACAGTAGTTTTGTGAGAGCACTATTTGGTTTGTGCCTTGAAATTTTGATTTTAATCCATAATTTTTTCCTTCAGAATTTAAAATGTCATCAAGGAGAGATTCCAGAATCAGTGCAATATAGTCATCTCATCAAAGATCTGAATAAACAGCTGAAGGAAGTTGATGTAAGTCCACAAAACATTTATTTTTTTTAAAATAGAAATAAAATAAATTATCAGTCCCCAAGCAGTTATTATTATTGTTGCTGGTGTATGTGTTTTTGCTACCTTTACTGTTGCTGTTGTTGCTTTGTTGTTTTGTTGTTGGTGGTAGTAGTGGGGTTGAATAGCTTGTTGCTTGTCTTCCGATCACAGAGTGCTGGGTTAAATTCCTGTCACGGTAACATAATTTGTTGTCACATCCAAAACAATTCCACTCCCTAAGCCTCACAATGAGACTTTCGTCTATGTGGGGCAGGGGTGGGTATAAAAATTGGTCAGAGGGCCAAAGTGAATTTCAGATACACAGAGGGCCGCACCGAGACTTTGATGTTTCCAGTGCGCTTCCAAAAAGCTCCAAGCACTGCTTTTACACCACTTTATTCCCAGTTTTAATATTCTTTTTACTATGGTCTGTGTCGTTCAGTAAAAAACAAGGTGTTTTCTAGCCAATGTTGCTTGGTAGGCCCACACGTATGGTTTTGAAATCATGTTCACTGGTTACAAATAATCACAAAAAATTTTTTGCCAACAGAAACACCCAAAACCAAGTCGTGCACCATCACAAAGAGTGTCAAGCAGTAAAACTCATAAAGATAAAAAGAAGCAGAAAGAGAAAGAAAAACACAACAAAAAACAAAAACAGAAAGAAAAGCCAAAGAAAAAGAAGAAAAAAACCTTGTTGTCAGATAGTGACATGGCTGGACTGGATATCCTGCATCAAATCACAGAGAGGTCATTGAACCCACAGGATGTCTCTCATAGGTTGCCGCAGGTCATATCACGACCTGCCTACGCAAAGGTGAGGTAGAAATTATTATTGCACTTAACGCCATATTTGATCAGATTTATTTTGTGAAATTTTATTAATGTAACTTTTATCAGAAATATTTGATCTAACAAAATTTGATAGCGTGGACAAATCATTAAAAATCAGTATTACCATCTTATTATTAACGTCTGTCCAGATTATCAAATTTTATTTGACAAAAAAACTGTTGTAGGCCCATATATAGTCATGATGTGCCTATATATGGTCATGATGTGATGTCATCACGACCATATTTGGACATGTTGCATGTTTTTGTCAAATAAAATTTGATAGTCTAGACAGGGCTTTATATTGATTGATAGGATGGGTATAAAGTGCATGCTGCTGACAGCAAAAGCGGGATACAACACACAAAGGCTGGAGGAGATGGTGTACCTGGACTGAAGCTCAAGTTCTCAAATGGTAAAGTAATCAGGTAAGATACAGTACCACAATTTGTATTTACTTAAATCTGAAACCCATACATTATCATCATATCAAGATCTTAAATTATTTTTTTTGAAAAAAATGTTATTATCTATAAATCCAGGATTTTCTAAGTAGCATTTCAATTCTCTACCAACTTATTTAAGAGATCAAAACATGATTTATCATCTGTAAGGAGACTCTTCCACTATAAGCCCCGCCCACTTATATTGTTGTTAAGTTTCCACAACAATAAGACATTCTGATTGGTTGGTTGTTAAGTTTGATTGACATTCTGGAAAGGACAATTGTCAAACTTTTCAGAGTTTTCTGCATTTGTGTATTTGATTTTATAAATGTGTCAGCAAAATTATTATAGATGAATAATGACAGCTGTAGCTTGGACATATAATAAAACCATTTTGTCAATTACAGTCGGGAAAATTCACCATCTTTGATGAAAATGCAAAAGTTGCAAATGGAAAGTGATGAAGAAATGATGGTGGATGTAGAAAGTGATGTTCCTAATTCTACTCCTGTGCAAGTCCCACTCAAATTTAAACTCTCATGTAAGTGCCACTAAAATTATCATGTGTAATTGACATACAAATCTATCCTGAAAATTCTAATTCAACGTCACTCAAACTCATAAACCCCACTCATATTCACATGTCACTTAAACTCAATGTGGGTTTATTCATAGTCTCAGTAAGGTTTCCCATCCAAAACAAATGTTTAATCACACAGATTTACTATTTAAATCCTAGACAGGCCTAATATTGGTCTTTTTGGACTAAAATTTTGAGATTTTCTTTCCTGGTGTACTGACCTTCACTGGTACATGCCTGTAATGTGTTAGTGAAAGGGATTTTCCCCATTACTGTAGGGACTCCCCCTATTAACGAAGACAGTGATCTTTATGCTTTTGGCTATCCTTGGCCACAATTTATACACAAAATCAGATATAAAATAATAATACTTACTACAGGATGCATTGTATTGTGTTAGTTGAAGGTTTTTTGCCACACTTATGTAAGATGGGGCTAAATTCTGTATTGACCATGTGTATGTTTATATATAAATCAATTGAAATAATGCGTATGTTTTTTATCCATTATAGATAATGGTAAATCTGCAACGGATAACAGTATGTCCACTTCTTGCCCTGAATCAACCTCTGCTAATGATTCAGATTCTGACTGTGATGTCATGCCCTCAGACAGGAGTCCAAAGGTCAGGGTGCAAACAAACCAGGTGAGGTCAAGAAGTGCCTTTTATAATCAGAAGTTTGTTACATAGGGTAAAATTATTTTAACATTATGTAATGTTTGCAAACATAGTGTATTAATATACTCTTTTTATATGTTTGTTTCTTTTCATATTTATATCAAGGATTTATACAACATAGACGCCTTACTGCAAGCCAGTCAATACGAGGATCAACACTTCGGTCAGCATGGTGGCCTATCAGGGATCCAACTTGACTTAAGGTAAACAAGATATTGATTGATAAATTCATATTTATTGATAAGAGTAAATGAAGGACAAACAGCACTTTTCAGACTAACAAATTTATTTAATCACTAATAATTTAATTTATTTAATATTTATTGATAAGTGCCAGCCATATAAATGTTGCCAAAACTATTTATTACATACTGTACTTAACCCAGACACTCTACACCGACGGTCCTCGGACATGGTGTAATGGAGAAGGCAACACGATGAGGCACGCACAACGGATGGGTTTGAATGACGATATGTTCAGTCTGTCATTGTCGTTCAGCTCATAGAGAGTGTGTATGATACTCAGAATATCAATAAATCACAGCTCACCACTATCGTAATAAGAGCAACTGCTTCTTTATTATACAACAACATACGATCTCTCGTGAACTCTTCACTAACCCCGACCTAACCAGTCGCTAGGCAACTTAGGCCTAGAGGGCGGTATACCACTTACTTAGTTGTTAACATAGTAGCCCTACAGAGTGGACACTGGAATTGTTGGTCATATGTTTTATACGATGCAGTGTGTGCCACAAGTTTAACAATTCTTTCCGGTGTACAATGGGAAAAAAATAATGTTATTATTATATGTAATTCTTAAACTTTGAACACTGGATAAATTTGAAGAGCCAGCAAGCTTTCAACCACTATTGTGGTCTTGTTCACGATTACGTCATCTGATCTTGTTGTGATGTCAGAACAGTTCTGTGTGGAACAACACCATTAAAGAGCAGAATGAGGTGCATTGGCCTAATGAAGCCCACTGCATTACCAACATCCTGGATAGATGAATCTTCATGAAAATATTATAATTGTCATCATTATTTATAATGTTTCATTTTTATTGTTATCATCAACAGAGATCGGCAGACTTCACCCAGCATGAAAGATGCTATTCAGGGAATGCTGTCCATTGCACTTCCACACACAGACCCTGCCAAAGCATCATCCATGCTTCTAAGTAGAATGGGTGCTAAAGCCAAGCAGAAAGTACCGAAGAGGAAGCTCAGTGACCAAGAGTTCACTGATGCACTGCCAAACTGCTTTCAGGATTCAAAATATGGTATGTTTTCCAAATATAGTATAATTTTATTGTTTTATTTTATGTTTGATTTAATATTTTTATTGTTGGTTTTCATGCTTATGAGGATGTTTGGATGTTAGTAGATTTTTCTGGGTGTTGTTGTCTAATGTAAAAAAGGGGCTCAAAATGGGATCTGTGAGGGAAAGATAAACTATTATTTGACCTGAGAAATTTAAAACAATATTTAATTTACATATTTAAAATATAATTTCTTTAAATGATCTTGTTTTTAGTGTATCCATCGTTGGATGATGATGGAGATGGACCTCTTTTCAAATCAAGGACAAAGAAGATGCGCCGTGATTTAAAAGATGCCCCATGGAATCCAAAAGCTAAGGTTAAAATACCAGTACCCAAAACAGACCGTCCAACCAGAGACAATGCCAGAAGGCCAAATATCGATCAGGGATTGGCTGATGCTGCAGCTAGATTAGCCAATAAGGTGTGTTGTAACTCATTTTTCGTTTCCATCAGAAAGAAAGCTAGTAATAAGATTTCTGTTTCGTTGGTTTTAATCAACTAATTGTATTCAATCACAGTAATTAAAAGTCTCTTTTTTGCTTTTTACACATTGCATGTTCAGTCCTTAATGAATGTCATTGGTCACATTCTGACATTTAAATAACAAGGTAAATATACTGTACAGTACCTTTAAATTTTATATTTAAAAGTAAAGAGTATGCTATAATAATGCATAGAGTATGCTATAATAATGCATTGAGGTTAATACTAGGTAACCCGAGATCAAGCCGTGCTAGCACTATGTTTGTGCCATGTAAGTTACTATCTTTTGGTGAATTTTTAAGAAAATTGGTGTACAGCTAACTTCATGTCAAGGATTTCTGTCTCAAAAAACTTTATTGGTTCAGGCTTTATCACTTCTATATTGAAATCTTCAATGATATTTTATAAATGACATTTCCAATTGTATTAATGATTGGAGATCTGTATAGGCATTTTGTAATTTTTATATACATACATTTAAAATTTATCTTTATATTTGTTATATGGTTATGTGCGTCTGAAATAAATGTTGATTGTCTGATTATTCATTTCAGCCGCGTCCAAAACGACAGTACATCCGACGAAAACCTTTGGAACATTCCAAGAAATTTACCTCAGGCCAGCCATCAACAAGCAAGACTGCACTTGCCCAATCTCACAGTACATTTGACTTCAAGGTCAACGACCCCTATACATTTGACCTTGCACAAAGTGCGCCAAGCTCAGTATTCCGGTCGACATCGGAATCGCTGAGCCCACCCGTAGAAGGTTTGGGAAAACGTATGTATTATACACTGCAAATTATCAATGCTAATGACCCCTCACACTCGTGTTTAATGTCTGAAGCCCTATAGCTATCGTCTCACTTATAAGAGTGAGTCATGTTGGAGTAATGATGCAGGCCCGTAGCCAGGGGGGTTTTTAGGGGTTCGGGCGAACCCCCCTTTTTCAGCGAACCCCCCTTTTGCCAGCGAACCCCCTTAGCCAGAAAACGATAATAAGATATTATTTGCAATATTTCTCTTTTAAGCAAAGACCGTTTACATACCTCTATATTTTAATATTGGTATTTATCGATCTCATAATGTGCAATGTATGTGTTTAGCAGTGGCGTAGAAAAGTATTTTTCATTGGGGGTGATGATTGGCGTGTTAGCCAGTGTCGTAACAG